GCGAAAAAAGGAAATAACATTTAAAAAAAAAAAAAAAAAAAAAAAAAAAAAAAAAAAAAATTAAAACCTGTGAACTATTTTTTAAATGTCTTTATTTAGTGAGAACAATATATAATGTATCCACCAAAAGAAAATTAAGATCACCTACAATTTCAATTAAAATGTCCATTTTCTGTGCCTTTCCTTTCAGATTTTTCACATATGCATTCATGTTAGAGTAAGCAGGTGCAGTTTAGTAACCCACTTTTTTACTTACCAGTTTCCCCCCACGTATCACAGACTCCACAATCATGAGTTTTGATGGTTATGTAATGTTCATTTCAGTTAATGTGTCATAATTTTCTTAGCTACTGCCCTGCTGTTATACATTTAGGCTGTTGGCCAGTTGGTTCTAATTTTAGATCATTCTGCTAGGAATATGTGCCTGCTTTTTTGTTTGTTTGGTTCTTCCATTGCAGGTGAATTCTCAGGAGTGGGGTTTCTGGGTCACAGCTTCCAATTTCTTAATGCATCACCGGATTGCTTTACAAAAGGGTTGTACTGGCTCGAAATGCCCCCAATAATGCATATATATCAAGGGTGAGTTTTACATAGTTGGTTAATCTTTGTAACAGATGCAGGAAGTAGGTATCATTTCCTCCATTCTATTAATGGACAAAAGGAGGATCAGGAAATTAAGTAGCCTGTCCAAAGTCACAAAATTGACTGCAGAACTATCTTTCTGACCCCAAAGAGCTGCCACTTCCCGGACACTTGAAAATGCCAAGTTTTGGGCAACCTTCCAGCAAGGGTTGCTGTTACTATTACTCATTTTGGTTAGTTTAATAAATGTAAAATGATAACCCCAACATGCTCTAATTTGCATTTTATTGTGTAAATGACTCATCATTTCATTAATTATCTGTTATAATCTTAGTATTTTTCTTTCAGTATGGAAAATTTGTGTTAGATACAAATAACATACAAATGACACCCTACCTCTGCCTGCCTTTCCCCTTTCTGGTTAGCTCTTTTTCACTGTAAGACCTTCTCAGTGTTTGTGTAGGTAAAATTGCTTCTTTCCTTTGATGATTTTTTCCTTTCTCCTACAAATCTAAGAGTGTTGCTGATTTTTCCAGAGGTTTAACATATCTATCCAATTTCCTGTTCCTATGTTTCTGATAATTATATTTGTAAAAATCCTCAATCCTATTCTACCAGGAGTTTTTCCTAAGGAAACGGGAAACATCTCAAATGTTCTACATATGGGGAACTGCTAATTAAACCGTGATGTTCTAAGAACAAGAAAATAACGTGGTCATGAAGATCCTCATCATTACAGCAGTGAAATTGCACTGTGTTGTGTGAGAATCTGGAGGCTAGGAAACAAAAACGGAGCTGTGGTTTTGCGATGGCGAGGATGGATGTGACAGTGGTGGAATTACGAGGTAAAAAAAAAATTGATTTCCTACAGCCACTACAAAGAAAAGGGCAAAAAATTCCTTAAAAAGGACCATAAACATGGATTTCTCCCCATTGTTTAATAATGAAACGTGAAGGCGCCTGCCGCACAGGTGCGAAGCCCAGTGACCCAAGGGTCGTCATCCGAGACTGGTTGTTCATTGGAGCCCCCCATGGCCAGTGTTCTTCCTCTAGGGGACGGGGAGGAGTGTGACAGGCCAAGCGGGGGTCGCCGTCGCACCTGGGGCCCGGAGGCAGACCCGCAGCTCCTCTCTCCCTGCCGGCCGCGAACAGAGGGCGGGGCCTCCCGGGACCCCGCCCCCACCGAGGCCCGAGGCCCCGCCCCCGCCCGCCCGCGTGGGCCCCTTCCTCAAGCGGTGGCGACGGCCGCTCGGCTGCGGCCTCCCTCAGAGAAGCTCCGGCCGCGAAGATGAAGGGCGGGGCCGCCTCCCGGGAGGAGTGAGGCGGCTGCGGCGGTAGGCCCTGAGGCGCTCCATAACTCCCCCGGCGGGCGTCCGCTTCCCCATCCCCACAGGCACCCTCTGGGTATTGGGAAAGCGCCGGGCCTTGCCGAGCGGCGTCCTGGGTCCGGACCCCGGCCTCCGAGGGGCGACCGACGCGCAGGGACCGGGCCACGCGGCCCCCAGGGCCCCCACCTCGCCCCCCAGAGCCCGCTGGCGGCCCTCCCGGAGTTCCCTTGTCGCTGGGCGGGACCCACGGCGGGGTGCAGGGGGCGCTGCGATACCCGGCGCGCCACCGACCTCCCTCCAGGGGCTCCGCCAGCTCCCCCAGCCCCCACGCGGAGTGAAGGGAGCGTTCCTAACCCGAAAAGCGAAGCCAAGCCGCCCCACCTGAGCACTGGGGCAGGCCCGAGACCCATCACGTGCCCTCGGGGCAGTCCCTGGCCCCTCCTTAACGGGATCCGGACCCTGTCCGGTCGGGCGCCCTCGCACCTGGGACCCGAGGCCCAGGGTCCTCACTCGGCCTCAGCAGCTCCTCTGCCCCCGCCCGCGTCCCCTCCACCCCCGGTGTTTACCTGTCTCTGCCGTTAGGCGAGGAGAAGCTCGCGGCGCCGCGGCTGTCAGCGACTGGTGCGGAGGGCAGGCGACGCGCGGGGCCAATGGGGGAGGGACGCTGGGCGGGGAAGGGAGGCGGCGGCGCTCACGGGCGGAGGTCGGCGCGGGGACCAATTGCCGAGCGGACTGGCTAACACTCCGTGCCCGCGGCGGGCAGCCGGCCGAGGTTTATGTTAAAGGGTGCAGCGCTCCGAAGCAGGGCAGGGAATGAGTCACCGGAAAAAACGAGTTGAGATTCGCTTGAACACTTGCATCAGTTGATACCGCCTCCGGGTGCCATCGCTCCCTGACGTGGCTCATTGACTGTAAAAATCATCTTTAATTGGAAATTCGGCCCAAAGCTCCAGCTCCCCGTTACATAATGGAGAACTCGAGAAAATGAAGGGGAATGAGGAAGCAATTTCTGGAATTTTGGCAACCAGAAATTTCTAAAGAAGAAAACAAAAATGTTGCTTACCCTGGATTGAGATCAATATTTATAAATATTCACATAAACTCTTAAATTTTGAGGCCTAGAAAGGACACTGGCCATCACCTGTTCATTCATTCACTTTCTCCTTTTTTTTAGGCAAAAAAGATGATTAAGGTGGTGATATTAACAAATGAGAAAAATGAACTCCGTTTAAAAAGCTCTCATCACATTACCTGAGATGTCTTCTATGAAACAAGGTGGTGTGTTCTTGCCCAGGATTCCTGCTGACAACTTTGGCAGAGGTTTGTCTCATTTCAAAGGAGGGCAAGGGATGAAGTGATAGAAGGACAGGAATTGGAGGGGGATCTTATAAATTATTACCCAAATTGGGCACTTTTACGAGTGAAATGGGCATAAACCAGGCCTGCCCTGGGGAAAATAGGACATCGAGTATCCTCGTTTCGGGTGAGAGGTTTAGGAAGCATGTAAGGAAAGAGATTTAAGAATGTTGACAACCAGATGCAGTGGCTCACACCTGTAATCCCAGCACTTTGAGAGACCAAGGCAGGAAGATTGCTTGAGCTCAGGAGTTTGAGACCAGAGTGGGAAACAGTGAGACCCTATCTCTACAAAAAAGGAAAAAAAAAAAAATAGCTGAGAGTGGTGGCATAGGCCTGTAGTCCCAGCTGCTGGGGAGGCTGAGGTGGGAGGATTGCTTGATCCCAGGAGGTAGAGGCTACAGTGAGCTGTAATCGGCCACTGCACTCCAGCCTGGGCCACAGGGCTATAGAGCAAGACCCTGTCTCTCTCTCTTAAAAAAAAAAAAAAAAAAGCTGATGCTCCATTGATTGTAAACATATTTGCATTAAATATTTGCATCTCAGGACCAATCATTATCACTCAAGTTGGGGTGAGGGGTACAAGTGACTGGAGAAGCCAGGAGAATGCACAGAGGAGAGCTGCTGTAAAACAGTGCCTGAGCCATGTTTATGTGAGTGTGGGTGAGCACTTGAAAGATCTGCTGGGAAAGGGCAAGGAGAGGCCTGGAAAGCATCGACTTTGGAGGGAGCTGACTCAGTGCAACAGGGAGGACTGAATTGTGGCCAATTAGAATGAACACTAGGCAGTGAGGCTGTTTTACATCCTATCAGTCTTATGTAATGCTTAGGTTGACATCACGTTCTGAACCTCACCTCCTTTTCTCAGATAGCTCACTAGGAGATGAACTCAGCAGGCAGCACAGTGTCTCTGAGTCTCCTAGAGGCTCAGGGGCTTCAAGGAGGACTGGGCCAGGGTGGGGCTGGAAGTGGGTGACTAGATCAGCCTAGGCAAGGGGCTGGCTTCCACTGGCAGAAGGGGCCCTGTAAAGCTTGGTTCCAAGATGCTAAAACCCCTCTTTTCCTCAAAATAATCATATGCTCTGGTTGACTGCTTTCCTCCCATCAGGAAGGGGCTCAAATACCCTGGGATTTCTTGGAGGGGAGGAATTAGGAAACCAAAGGGGATTGCTTTATGCCCTATTCTGGTTATTACTGATGTACTGCAAATACTCCACAACTTCGGTGGTTTAAAACAACTACCATTTTATTATGCCAATGGATTGTTTAAGCCAGGGAGCTGGATAGGCACAGTGGGGACTTGATTCTGCCCCATGATGTTTGGGGTGTCAGTTGAGAAGACTCTAAGTCTATAGATGCTTTGATAGCTGGGGGTTGCAGTCATCTGAAGCCTATGCACTTGCATGAGTGGCACCTGGGCTGGGAGGACTTGAAGATCAGATGTACTGACTGGAGTGCCTACCTCTGGCTTCTCTGTGTAGCCTGGTTTCCTCATGGCATGGTGGTCTCAGCTTGGAGGGACTTCCTCCATGGTGGCTCAGGACTCCAAGTGTAAGAGTTTCAGCAAACAAGCTGCAATGTCACTTCCCGCCTGGGCTTGGAAGTCATGTAGCATCACTTCCACTGTATGCTCTTGCCTGACAGTTGTGTAGTTCCCTGGCTGTGGCAGTGGCTCGTGCCTGTAATCCCAGCACTTTGGGAGGCTGAGGCAGGTGGATCACCTGAGGTCAGGAGTTCAAGACCAGCCTGGACAACATGGTGAAACCCTGTCTCTACTAAAAATACAAAAATTAACCAGGCATGGTGGTGCACACCTGTAATCCCAGCTACAAAGAAGGCTCAGGCAGGAGAATCACTTGAACCCAGGAGGCGGAGGTTGGAATGAGCTGAGATGGTACTATTTAAGAAGGTTTGGGAAGCATGTAAGGAAAGAGATTTAAGAATGTTGACAGCCAGGTGCAGTGGCTCATGCCTGTAATTCCAGGCATGAGACTCTGTCTCAAAAAAAAAAAAAAAAGTCATATAGCCCCCAGATTCAAGGATAGAGGACATGGAGCACACTTCTCAATGGGAGGAGTATCAAAGATGTTGTTGCCATTTTAAAAAGCTGCCACAATGGGTTGATGGTCTTACCTGTGGATTCTTGGAGGAGTTTTCCTTGACCTCATGAACCACTCCAAGGGTGGGCAACCTACAGGAAGTGGCTATTGCAAATGGCCCTGCATGATTCCTCATTCCAAACTCACTCTCATTGCCTCTCCCATGACCACAACTACTCATGTCCCACTATAAATAGTGAAGGTCATTTTCCAGACTGAGTGAGAAGAGGGGTTTAGGGTTTGTCCTCGGAGGTCAAAGCCCTTGAAGGGGAATGATGCCACACAATTTTCTTCCTCCTCCTCCTCCTCCTTCTTCCTTTTTTTTTTTTTTTTTTGAGACAGAGTCTCTCTCTGTTGCCGAAACTGGCGTGCTGTGGGGTGATCTTGGTCAGTACAACCTCTGTCTCCTGGGCTTAAACTACCCTCTTACCTCAGCTTCTTGAGTAGCTGGGACCACAGGTATGAGCCACCACGCCTGGCTAACTTTGTATATTTTTTAGGGATGTTGTCAAGGTTGGTATTGAACTCATGAGCTCAAGCAATCCGCTTACCTTGGCCTCTCAAAGTGCTGAGATCACAAGCATGAGCCACCATGCTTAGCCTGAGTTACCTTCTTAAAAGTCCGCTCTTGTTGTTTTGTGGACATTAGCAGTACCTGGGTGGAGGCTTTTGCAGTAGGCCGGGGAGAGAAAATTGTGGCCTGGCCTATGGTGGTAGTAGAGGACAAATTGATGACACTTTAGAGATAGGCCCACTAGATACACTATTGCCAATGAGGTAAGGAGTTGCAGAAAAGGAGGAATCATGGATGACTTAAGTTTTTTAATGAATAACTGGGGGGATGGTGGAGCTATTTTCTTAAATGGTGAAAAATGGATGGCGACCAGATTTCAGAGGGAACATCTGGAGTTCCTTCTTTCCATTTGGACATGTTGAATTTGAGATGGCTGTGTAATCTCCAGATGGGTGCTGAAGATACATATTTAGTAGTTGTCAGCATATAGGCGATTTCCAGTCACGGGCTTAGATGAAGTCATCATGGGAGGAAATGTAGCCAGAGAAAAGAAAGGAATCAGGACTTCATCATGAGGAATACCGACAGTTTCGGACTGGTTGTTCTCAGTCTCTACTGTGCATCACCAGAAGACCAGATAAAACACAGATTGCTGCATCGCCCCTCCTGCCCCGGGATTTGATTCAGCAGGTCTGGGATGGGGTCCAAGCACCTGCATTGCTAACAAGTTCCTAGGTAATGCTGATGCTGCTGGGCCAGGACCACATTTTGAACCAGAGGAAGAGACTGAGAAGGGACAGCCAGTGAAGTAGGAGGGAAACCAAAGAGGGTCCTGTAAGCTAAGAGGAGGGTGTTTCGAGAAGGCAGAGCCAGCTATTGAGAGGCCAAGTTGTGTGAAGACAGGGGAGTGCTCACTGGATTTTGTGACGTGGAGGTTTCTGGGGACTTGAGAGACATTTCAATGGACTGGTGAGGGCAGAAGCAAATTGAAGGGGGAATAGAAGGTGAGGGAGTAGAGGCGACACTTCCTGAGTTTTACCCTGCAGGGAGCAGAGGAGTAGGCAGGAGCTGGAGGAGAGGGCGGGCGTTAGAGAGGTTGTTTTGAATTCCAATACTGGAGGGTCCTCTTTGGGTCGGGGTACATTCAATGGTATATTCATGTCCTCACAGACCTTGTTTCTTCCCTCTTTCTACTATTCCCTACCCAAGCTGGCATCAACGGCTGTAGCAGTTTGAGACATCACATGCATAGCAATTCAGACAGAGGAAGACAACAGCTAGCCTGTTTGTGTGGTCTTCTCTTAGGCATGAGGAACGTTTTCCCTAAAGATGTGAATCATGAATTTAAGGAGAAACTATTGTACTGTTGCTGCACAGAATGGTTCATATCTCCCCACCCTTTAAAAGCATTCAGTGCTTCCTTAATGGCTAGACTTCAATATCTGCAGTTAAAGTTTGCAGTCAAGGTCTCTGTGAAACATTTCTAATGATGTCTCTTTCTCTCTCTCTCTTTCTCTTTGCATCTCTCTGGGTGGAAGCCCTGCAGGACCACTTGTCCTCCTTTAATTGCCTTGCTGAAGGTCCACTTAAGTAGTTCTCTCAACCCTGAATTTCTTGACCCTACTTATGTTCTGTGGAGTGCTAGTTCTGATATGTCCTTTTCTCTGAAATCCTTCCATATCTTCCCATCAGAAGTCAGCTGCCTTCCTTCTAGCTCCAGCAGCAACTGGCTTGTATTATCCAGTTCCATTTTAAACTGCTTTATTATTTAAAAATTTATTATTGGCCAGGCGCAGTGGTGCACGCCTGTAATCCCAGCACTTTGGGAGGCCAAGGCAGGTGGATCACCTGAGGTCAGGAGTTCGAAACCAGTCTGGCCAACATGGTGAAACCCCGTCTCTACTAAAAATACAAAAATTAGCTGCGCGTGGTGGAGAGCGCTGTAATCCCAGTTACTTGGGAGGCTGAGGTAGGAGAATTGCGTGAACCCATGAGGCAGAGGCTGCAGTGATCCAAGATTGCACCACTGCACTCCAGCCTGAGCAACAGAGCGAGATTCCATCTCAAAAAAAAAAAAATTATTTAAAGCCCTGTTGGTCTTTAACGAGGCTGTAAATTCCTTGGGAGGAGAGCATGAGTACTGTGCCCAGGAAAATCAGTTAAATGATGTCCTGAATGTGGTTTCCTCTCCCATCCACTCATATTGCTCTTCTTCCTCTTTTCCCCTTGGTATCTACAAAAAATTTCCTTTTCTCTTTCTAGCCATGTCTAACTGTCTAGCCAGGTGTGAGGTGTCTCAGCCACCCCAGACAATGTCAGTGTCACCTGGAACCTGTGCAGCACGTGGGCCCTCCTCCACTGGCTGTCTTCTGCATTGCAGCTTTTATGGACTGTCTGATTTTCTCTGATCTTCTTGGTTCCCACCCTGGAGTTGGCTTCTGACTTTATTTTTCTGGAAACTGGAACCTTCCTGTGTCTTTACTGGCAGTTCCTGAGGCAATGGTAATTTTCTGGTTCCCGACACCAGTGAACGATCAGCAGCTACCCTCATTCAGCCCCTTCCTCGGAGTGTGCCAAAAAGGTTTTCTTTTTATGTAGATTATGCATAAGGCATATCAGTGTGATTCCAACTGATATAACCAAGGGTAGGGGGTGGGGGGTGCCACGTGGGGAGAGGCTTTTCCTCTCATGCTTTAATAGACCCATGAGGTGGGTTAATGCTTAATAATGCACTTCAATGCCTGGTAGGACTCATTTTGCCCGTTACTTTCTCTTAGCTTCAGAATATTTTCTGATATATATGTCAGATGTAGATTATATATATATATATATATATATATATATATATATATATATATATAAAATATATTACAGGCATGTACCACTATGCCCAGCTAATTTTTGCATTTTTAGTAGAGACCGAGTTTCACCATGTTGCTCAGGCTGGTCTTGAACTCCTGACCACAAGTGATCCACTTGCCTCGGCCTCCCAAAGAGCTGGGATTGCAGGCATGAGCCACTGCGCCCAGCCTGATATTCTTGATTATTTCTCTTTCCAGATTAACTTTGTAATCATGTCAAATTCCATGATACCTATGGTTGGAATTTTTTTATTGAAATGACATTGCATTTAAGAATACATTTGTGAAGAATCATCACCTTTATATAGAATGTTTTGCCTTGCTCCCATATCCAGGAAATAATTCGAATGTTTACTCAGGTGGTTTTGTGCACCTCCCAAGAGAGTTGTGGCAGATGCTTTTGATATCTTGCCCTTGGCCCATCTGAGTTCGCCTGTAACTAAGGCTTCTAGAATGCTGACACCTTCCCACCCTGATGCCAGCCGCTCTCTTCTTTGCTTGAGGACTTTTTCTGGCATCATCTGTGCTTGCCAAACCCTTCTCCCCAGGAGCACCCCCAAAATGTGTGGACTCAGGGGTCCCAGGGCAGTTCTCCCCAGTGGGAGATGACAGTCAGTCTGTGGAAAAATGCTCCGACTCCCCAATCTTGTGGCTGGATAACCTGGTGCTAGCTCCTAGAATGTTCTGGGTGGGGTGAAGCCCCAGTTGCACATGGTAATTGATCCATTACCACACCTGCACGTGTGTGGATATTAAAAGTGGAAAGAGTTGTAGTACATGAACCTTAGAAGCTGCTGAAATTCTAGGGAAACAAAGGAGGGAAGAAAGGGTGTTCTCACTTCTACTTGGGGCACTACCTGGCTGAGGGGGTTGGGTGGAAAGTCCCTGGGGCATCCTGAAGCTTCCAGAACCTCCACAGTGGTGACTGTGGTGGCCCATGGAGAAGAGGCTGGCTCCAGGGGCCTTGAGCCTGAGAAAGGGACTTGTTCATCATGGATACACATGCATGAACATACACCTGTATTTCCAAAATCCTTGGGCAGGCAGATACAGCTTTGTAGGAAACTGGGTCCTGTATTAGCAGCTGAGGAAACCAGATATCTCTCAAATCTATCTTCAGTGCTCTAACTTTTTACTCCCAGCTCTTTACTTGGCCCTGGGAATTGGTTGGGGCTAGGGACAATAAAATAAAGAAGCATTTATAAAGGAAGCATGTTTTCTCTTCAGTTTTCTTCCCCTATTTCCTGTAATGAAAACTCGATTTGCTTATGCTATCATTACACGGTGGTTATTTCCAGCTACATCATGAATGGACCTTGTGATGAGTTCCTGAAAGTTTGCATGTAATTCAATATGTTTTTGAAATAAAAGTGTGAAAATGTGTCAAGTGCATTAACTGTGTAAATGTACATTATGTAAAATGGGCCACTCCTTTATCAATGTATTTTGTAGGTCCATATTCTCAGATGCTGGGTTTGCAAGGCACGTCTTCGAGCAGTGTTCATGTGACTCCTGACCTTGTGAAGCTGGGATCCCTCACATAGTGTTCTAGGAAGAAGGCAGTGCACCCTCTTAGAGCACTGCCTTCACCCTACATGTGATTGTTCTTCATTAGGATGGCTGCATCCTGAGGCCCCTTGAGCCTTCTCCCTCAGCTATAACTTCATCTTGTTACTTTGACTGTTGCCAGCCAGGTCAGCTTCCAGGCCTGCTGTCCTGACCACACAGGCCTTTCCCTCCAAACCCTTGGTGTTCAAGACACTTGCTATTGGTGTGTCACATATTAAAATTCTAACTGTACCAACTTCTATTCTCTGTCTTGTTTTCAGCTTTGTTTACTCATCCTGTGGTATTTTCTTAAGAGACAGGCAAAGAGTTTAATGGTTTTCATCTTCTAATGGACTTTTATTTCTTTGAATAGGACTTCATGCCAAGGCTGAACTGAGAGCAGGGCTGGCTTTGGGTAAGTGATAATTGCCTGACTGGGACAGCAATGGAAAATCCCTCCACGTTTTTAAATGAGTGACATCTGAAAAGAAGTTAATAGCATGTAGTGGAAGCAAAATCAAATGGCAAAATTAACAATATGAAAGTAAAAATGGTCAGAGGTGGCATCAAAGCTCATACACAGTAGTGTTCTTTTTTTTTTTTTTTGTTCTTGTTCTTTTATTGAATATAGAAAATGAGACAAACTAGGATTGGAAATGCTGCCATTTAAAGCAATCTGGAAAGTTACTCTGAAAATTCTGGCTTATACTTGTTCATATTTTGCCTTTGATTTTTCTGCCCAGGAGAAGCATCTTTAGACTGCAAAGGGTAGAATGAGCACTGGAAGCTCAAATGGGCTAAGGGAGGAGGCAGAAACTTTCATGTGTGCCAAATGCATGCAGATCTTCAGGCCTGTTGGATCATATCTTAAGGAAGTAACAATTTGCGCATGACAGTGGAGTGTCATACCCGTGACTCAAACCTCACATGCAAGCCTCTACCTTCTTAGAAATGGTTTGTCTGAGATGATAAGGTGGCCCTATTTAACCCTAATATACAAATAATATAAAATGGTGCTATGGCTTGAATGTGTCACCTCCAAAATCCAGGCATTGAAAAATTTTTTTTTTTTTCCAAATGGAGTTTTGCTCTGTTCCCCAGGCTGGAGTGCAGTGGCACAATCTTGGCTCACTGCAACCTCTGCCTCCCGGGTTCAAGTGATTCTTCTGCCTGGGCCTCCCAAGTAGCTGAGATTATAGGCGTATGCCACCACATCTGGCTAATTTTTGTATTTTTAGTAGAGTCAGGGTTTCACCATGTTGGCCAGGCTGGTCTTGAACTCCTGATCTCAGGTGATCCACCTACCTCGGCCTCCCAAAGTGTTGAGATTATAGGCATGAGCCACCACACCAGGCCCAGGCATTGAAACTCAGTGGCCAATGAGATAATATTAGGAAGTGGAGGCTTTCAGAGGTGATTCAGTCACTAGGATTCTTTCTTTGTGATCGAGATTCAGGCCTTTTTAAAAGAGGCTTTGCACAGCAGCATTTGGCCCTCTTGTCCTTCTGCCTCCTGCCATGTGAAGACACGGTGTTTGGTGTTTCTCCCCTCTAGAGGATGCGGCATCAAGGTGCCATCTTGGAAGGACAGAGCAGCCCTCACCAGACACCAAACATGCTAGCATCTTAATTTTGAACTTCCCAGCCTCCAGGACTGTGAGAAATAAATTTCTGTTCTTTATACAATGTATCTCAACCATTCCAGATGTTGAAGATTTGAATTTATTTCCACAAGTCTTAAAGTCTTTGGTGATGCAGGTAGTGGTGCTGAAATATCACAAATCAACACGTGGATATCTTCTTTGCCTAAAAAATATCTCCAGATGCCAGATGATACAAAGTTTGGGTTGGAGTGTTGGGTTAGAGATGGCAAGATAAAGAAAGCTACTTAGCCTGGCTTGAGTAAAATGCAGTTTGTTATAATAAAGCAACAGATGGCAACCATCACGGAGCTGGCAGCTGGGCCTTATCAACCTAAATAACAAACATTTTGAAAGGAAAATGACATTTATTTGGGAATAGGCATTTCAATGGAAATGCATGTGCTATAATACACTATGTGCCTATTCAGGGAGGTAAAGGAAGACAAGGGTTTTTTAGAGGAAAAACAAGGAGGGTTACATAATTGTTTTTGGGATAATTATCCTTGACTACAAGGATCAATAACAAGGGTAGTACCAGTTTGAGGTTGGACAGGCAGCTGCTGGGTAGTTGTCCTTGTAGAGGTACTTTTTTGTGTAATGTGGAGATGGACTTTGTGCAAGGCTGTGATTTTTTGCAGTCTTTTGTGATAGTTTTTGTGCATGGCAAGCCTGTCTTCAAGGCCTCTTCTAGCTGTTGGGATTTTTAACATAGCTGACTTCATTTGGTTCTGAGAGCTTTCACAGCCTCAAGTCGCAGTATTTAAAATACTTACTTCCCCCCTCCTCCTTTTTTATGATCATTGAAGTTATTTTTTCTTGTAAAAGCAATACATATTCAACAGACATATTGGAATATGTAGATAAGACTAAAGAAAATAAGAATAAAAGAAAATGAAGAAAATATCTAAAATATAGATAAGAAAATGAAATATTCATAATTCTACCCCATTCACATTACTTTTTTATGTACATATAAATTTTCCTTATCTAAATGCAATCATAAATTTTGAGCTAAGCTCCACCTCCACCCTATATTCTGCAATAATATTTGGCTGCATAGTATTCCATCACATAGCTGGGAAGAATATCCCTATAGCTAAATAAGTTGTCATATGTGAATGGTTTTGTTTTGTTTTGTTTTGTTTTTGAGATGGAGTCTTGCTCTATCACCCAGGCTACAGTGCAGTGTCATGATCTTGGCTCACTGCAACCTCTACCTCCCCGGTTCCAGTGATTCTCCTGCCTCAGCTTCCCGAGTAGCTGAGACTACAGACACTAGGCTAATTTTTGTATTTTTAGTAGAGACGGGTTTCATCATGTTGGCCAGGCTGGTCTTAAATTCCTGACCTTGTGATCCACCCACCTCCGCCTCCCAAAGTGCTGGGATTACAGGCATGAGCCACTGCGCCAGGCCAGATGGGCATGTTTTTAAGTTTTTGAGGCATGTAGTCAAAGTGGTTGCACCAATTTACACTCCCACAAAAGCGTGCTTTGAATCTCCCAGCATATTATCAGTTTTTTCCTAATCATTTACCAACTTAATAAGTGAAAATGGCATTTGTTTTAGTGAATGATTAAAGCTTTTTCATTGCTGTAAAATTAATTGTGAAACCCTGGCTTTTACAAAGAACCTCAAGAGACAAAGTGGGGAGGAAGCATATTCTAACAATTTTTATAGTCATTGCCTTTTTTAACTGTCTTATCTGGATAAGGAACCCAGCTATGCCTGTAACTGATTTAATACCCCATGTTTTTGGTTACCTATGTGAATGCTGATGTATTCAGCTTAGAATATTCTCAAGTTATTTTCCCTTTATAAATGAACCAGAGAAATATGTGAAATTATGATGGAAAGGTTTGAAAGTTGATAATTTTTTTTCCGGTTAGATATCTGTGAGAAATTATCTTTATTATCTTTGAAATTCTTCTTTTTTATTGTGTAATATACTTTGCCAAGGCAAGGTTTTCTCTTTCAATACATTCTTTGTTTATAAGAAACTATGTCAGTTGCAGTAATTCTGTTGAACAATTTTCTTGCTTTCTGCTCCATCTTTTCCTTCTCTTAAGAACAGACAAAAGAAATTAGAATAAGAATGCTATATTTCACTGGTATTTTTCAACTTTCTAAGATTTTGGTGCTCAAAAAATTGTATAGAGGCTTTCTTATGTATACACTGCTTTTATGTTTATTTGTTGGAATTGTTATATTCCTTCCCAGTAGAAAGGTGCTTGCTTAATATTTGTGGAATTTGTGAGTGCAAATTATATATAACAATAATGCAAGATTGCTTATAGGATAATAACATTTCTGTGTGACCATCTGATGTTGACCATCAGGAGGGATTTGCTTTGGGTTACTTGTCTAATGATGTTGCCAGATTTATCTTAATTTGTCCACAGCTTCTCCTAGCTTTTCTTGTCCCAGGGTCATACACTGGCAAGAAGCTTGAGGTGGTCCAGGAAGTAGTTTTTGTCCAGGAATTGATTTAATTTGGCTCACATGACTCACTTGGCCATTTCTAAACTTCACAAGGAAAAAGTACATTATCAAAATAAATCCTAAAATTTACAATAGAACAAATATATAAATGTAGAAAACTAGTTTCAGAACTGATTAAATAAAAGGAATCCACAGACCAAAATGTCAGTTTTAACTATAGTGCTCACAGCTGCATGTTTCATAACTATAAGCCACATGTACTCTTTACATTTACATTAACAAAATTTAAATAAAACTAAAATTTAATTCCTCAATCACACCTGTCACATTTTAAGTGCTCAGTAGCCACACATGACTGATGTTGGTTGAATAATGTTTACTCTTGTTTTTAAGGGACGTACTGTATGTATTTTTAAGTTGTCTGTGTATTTTGATCTTGAAAAACCTTTTTAGCTGGAGAGAGACTGCTCCTCCCTGGGCCAGCCAATTCTTAGTGATAGTAAGGGACCCAGCTAGGAACGTGCCTTTGATATGAAAACAACCCAATCCTAAACCAGACCTCCCCTATCTGGCCCATGCAGCCCAGGAAGCACTATTCCTCTGCCTTAATCATCCCAGAGCCAGGTACTGGGCAACTAGAGATCACTCCTATAGAACAAAGACCAACAAAATTATGCAAATGAGCCAATCCTAAACTGTTTACCCTGCACTGTCCTGACTTTCCCACTGAAGCCCCAGTGAAGGCTCTAGTTTGGCTTTCTCCTCATGTCTTTTGCTGCCTGTCCACTCTGGTGTCTCTCCCATGTGGCCCTTCATGGCTTGCCATGCCTTCTGTTTCTAGGACCTGTGAGTACAAGAGACTTTGTTTTTTCCTGAGCCTCCCCTGTATTTCCTTGTGTAGATATATATGCTTATCTCATAAAAGAAACAAGGGGGCCAGGTGCAGTGGCTCCCGGCTGTAATCCTAGCACTTTGGGAGGCCAAGGCGGGCGGATCACCTGAGGTCAGGAATTCAAGACCAGCCTGGCCAACATTTTGAAATCCCATCTCTACTAAAAATACCAAAATTAGCTGGGCATGGTGGTGGGCGCCTGTAATCCCAGCTACTGGGGAGGCTAAGGAGGTAGAATTGCTTGAATCTGAGAGGCGGAGGTTGTAGTGAGCCAAGATCACGCCATGGTACTCCAGCCTGGGCCACAGACTGAGACCCTGTCTCAAAAAAAAAAAAAAAAAAAAGAAAAGAAAAAGAAAAAAGAAAAGAAAAATAAACAAGGGAAATACATATAGAAAGGAAATGAAAAACAGAAGTTACATATGTTTGTTCATGTTGTTCCCCAGACACACTTTAAAGAGTTGGGTTTTATTATTATTTTATTTATTTATTTTTCTGAGATGTGGTCTCACTGTGTTGCCCAGCTGGTTTCAGACTCCTGTGCACCAGTAATCCTCCTGCCTCAGCCTCCTGAGTAGCTGGAACTACAGGTGCTCACCACCCCACCTAGCTAGAGTTTATTGTTCAGGAATAAAGTTTAAGCTTTTGTGAGTGAGGAATATACTTTTCTGACCCATTTGTGTTCAGCTTGTCCATATAAATTATGCTGGCCACTGTCATGTCAGTGGATGCAGGGTGTCCGGAGGTTTGAAATGTGCTTGTCTTCTTGTTCTGCCTCTATCATGAAAAGAACCTGCCTTAGATAGCTCTTGGTCCAAAGGGGATGAAACACTCATGGATCCAACCTGCAGTTCAGATTCAAGCCTGCCAAACTCAGTCTATGTTGGCCCAATCCCAGGCAACATGAGGATGCTTAAGTGAAAATCAATTACTTAGTGTTGAATGCCAATGAATTTTGGGTTGATGTGCTGTCTGATACCACACTTACCCTTTCATCTTTTCGTTTTCTTCTTTTTGAGACAGCCTCACTCTGTGGCCCAGGCAATCTCAGCTAACTGCAACCTCCACCTCCCAGGTTCAAACGATTCTCATGCCTCAGCCTCCTGAAGAGTACCTAGGGTTATAGGCCCCTGCCACCGCACCTGGCTGATTTTTGTATTTTTAGTAGAGATGGGGTTTCACCATGTTGGCCAGGCTAGTCTGAAACTTCTGACCACAAGTGATTTGCCCACCTCAGCCTCCCACAGTGCTGGGATTACAGGCATGAGCCACCACACCTGGCCCCTTTATTTATTTATTTTTTGGTATGAATTATTCTTTCTGCTTTGAATATTCTCCCTATCTTTGTCCATCTGGGTGAAATCCCTGGTATACTTCCAGATCCACATTCAAGTATCACATTTACTGTGCAATCTTCCTGGATTTGTTTCCTTCCACCATCTAAATATAGTTGTAAGAGATATGTTTTAAAAGCACCCAAACTTTAAACAAATTTTCTACTTGTCTTCTATGGACCAAATGTCTGTGTTCTCCCTCCACTGTCCCCCGCTGCCACCCCTTCATATGCTGAAGCCCTAACCCCCACTATTATGGTATTTGGTGATGGAAACTTTGGGAAGTA